TCAAGACCTGAGTTAAGACCAAGAGTCAGCCAACTGAGCCACCAAGGTGCCCCAACTAATTTTTTTTTTAAAGATTTTATTTATTTGAGAGAGAGAGAGAGAGCACATGAAAGGGGGAGGATCAGAGGGAGAAGCAGACTCCCTGCTGAGCAGGGAGCCCGATGCGGGACTCAATCCTGGGACTCCAGGATCATGACCTGAGCCAAAGGCAGTTGCTTAACCAACTGAACCACCCAGGCGCCCCCAACTAATTTTTTAAATAACAAAAACAGTGCAAGGCATGGTTAAAAAATAATAATTAAAAAAAAAAAAAAATCCGAACAGTTCATACGGGCATAACATGAAAAGCATTAGTCTCTTAAACCTGACCTTTGCTCTCACCAGGCTCTACTCTATGTATTCTTTTAGGAATTTTCTGTGCATTAAAATCATTCTTTTAAGTCTAAAATACTTTAGAATGTATAGGTCTAACTCAGACCTTTTTTTTGTTTTTTAAAGATTTTATTTATTTATTCATGAGAGAGAGAAAGAGGCAGAGGGAGAAGCAGGCTCCCAAGGAGCAGGGAGCCCGATGCAGGACTCGATCCCAGGACTCTGGGATCACGACCTGAGCCGAAGGCAGATGCCCAACCATCTGAGCCACCCAGGCGCCCTAAGTCAGACCTTTTTAAATGGTCATAATAATTTCAAAAACAAAAAGAAAGAAAGAAAACAGGTTGTACCAAGTGACTTTTCTAAAGAAGGACAAGATAATCTTCACTCACCAAGACGCCCTGCCACTCCTCGGGGAAAACAGGACATGACTCGCAGGGCTAACAATGCCCAACAGAAGGCTCAGAATAAATACCACATTGGGATTGAGGACTTGGGAGCATTTACTAATGAACTATAGCAGAATAATTACCTGGAGTTGGCCAGGCACCAAAGGGAAACGTCTTAACTCACTAAAAAGTCACTATCATTCAGGAAACACAGCTAGGAAGTACGTTACACCTCACCCAGACTATAGCAAGACTGAAAGCCAGTAAGACAGATTAGAACAAAAGATCGTGTGCCAGGAAAGTAAATAAAAATATGTATGTGCATTCTAAAAACTATGAGAATATATTTTTTCTTTGAAACTTCTCCATTTTACAATTGCTGACCTAGCAATTCCTGTATTCTACACAAATTTATGACGTGCCATACTTGACCATCACTTCCACCCTGCTTGTCCCCCTAGCCACTAAAAACATTTTTAAATTAATAATAATGGTAGAAAAAAGCATTGGGGCTCACCAAGTCATGTCAGAGTACAAAATCTGTAAAGAACCACATAGCACAAGACAATAATTTTAGCAAAACGAAAATGAATAAAGTAGGTGTTCTAGTAAGGTCAGGCGTGGTTTTCAAACACTAAAAATATAATACCTAAACTTACCAATTTATAAGTAATGAGAAGCACTCTGAAGATGTTTCAACTAATGAGCTTTCTGAAAAGTTATTCTAAACCTGGACAATGAAAATATAATTTCAACCCACCACATCTCAACTCACCACAATTTCGCAGTTAATCACCTATACAGTACTGTCCACTTCTACCCTAAACAATATTCAGCAAGAGCTGAGGTTACAGGCAGTTTCCAACAGTTGTAAAATGCTAAAACCCTGGCAGTACAAATAATGCTGTACAAAGAGAGTAATGCTGCTAATTCTGAACTCAATGAAGAGCTGGGCTCTCAGTGACAACGCCTAAGTTCAAATCCCAGATCTACAATTTACTAGCTGTTAACTCTGAGCAATTTAATCTCTGGCCTTTAGTTTACTACTGTGATCACAATAATCTTACTACCTAATAGGACAGTTAGCATACAAACAAGCACTCGGTTAATGCTGACAGTTGAACTTCTGGCTGGTGGGCAAGCACTATCTACACCAAGCATAAGCTTTTCATTTACCAGCTAAAAAATGTCTGAATTCAAGGAACAATAGTGGTTTAGGGGTACTAATATATTTAAACACAAAAGCAAGGGCTGTCCCAAAGTTTGGAGATCAAAAGTGCTGAAGTCAAGGACAGTTGGTACCCTCTCTTTTCCTGTTCCTGCCAGTTGATATTAACTGCCTTGAAATTTTTTTAAAAGATTTATTTATTTGAGAGAAAGAGAATGAGAGAGAGAAAGAGAGAGCACATGAGAGGGGGGAGGGTCGGAGGGAGAAGCAGACTCCCTGCTGAGCAGGGAGCCAGATGCGGGGCTCAATCCTGAGACTCCAGGATCATGACTGGAGCCGAAGGCAGTCACTTAACCAACTGAGCCACCCAGGCGCCCCTAATTGCTTGAAATTCTTAAAGGAAGCTTCTTCTAATACTCGCCCCATGAACTATAACAAAAGCTACATAATTCTCGCTTCAGTTTGACAATGCAACTTGTCACTTCCAGTTAACATACCCTAATGTTTAGCAACGTGAAATGGACAAGATTTTTCTTACTGAGTAGTTCAAAACACTATTATTTCTAAATGACTTATGGGACACCAAAGGCATTTCCTTTGGTCCTCAAGAACAATTTTAGAAATCCAATTATTCTCAAAAATACTGAATCTTGGGGCACCTGGGTGGCTCAGTCGTTAAGCGTCTGCCTTCAGCTCAGGTCATGATCCCAGGGTCCTGGGGTCAAGCCCCGCATCGCGCTCCCCGCTCTGCGGGAAGCCTGCTTCTCCCTCTCCCACTGCTCCTGCTTGTGTTCCCTCTCTCGCTGTGTCTCTCTCTGTCAAATAAATAAATAAAATCTTTAAAAAAAAAAAAATACTGAATCTTGGGGGCACCTAGATGGCGCAGTCAGCTAAGCATCAGACTCTTGATTTCAGCTCAGGTCACGATCTCGAGGTCCTGGAATCGAGCCCTGAGTCAGGCTCCATATGCAGAGTCTGCTTGGGTTTCTTTTTCCTCCCTCTCCCTCTGCTTCTCCCCCCCTTCCCCACCATCCCCTTTCCTCCAAGCACACGAGTGCTCTCTCTCAAATAGATAAATAAATCTTTAAAAAAAAAAAAAAGGTACTGAATCTGGTGGGTAAGGGATGGGCTAGATGGGTGATGGGTATTAAGGAAGGAACTTGTTATGATGAGCACTGGGTGTTTGTTGTATGTAAGTGATGAATCACTGAATTCTACTCCTGAAACCAGTATTGCACTGCACGTTAGCGAACTAGAATTTAAATTAAAAAAAGAAAAGTACTGAATCTTTTTAGTTTAAAGGAGAGGGGCACCTGGTTGCTCAGTAGGAGGAGCACACGACTCAATCTTGGGGTCGATCTCGGGGTCGTGAGTTCGAGCCCCACAATGAGTGAAGAGATTACTTAAATAAATAAAACTTAAAAAAAATATGTCTGCAGGCAGCTGCTGCTGCAGAGAGTCATAATAAGCTAGAAACTGTGGACCCTGGCTGGATTCAGTTCCTACCCTCAATCATCCTTATTTCATCCTTGCCCTCTGAAAATATATACTGGAGGGTATGGTAACATACACCATGGGGAAATGGAAATAGAGTCCTATCTCTGCCACTCACCACCTGTGTGACCTTTGGAAAGTCAGTGTCTTCAGCTTAAAGTGAGGAATTTTCTAGCAGTGGCTAAGAGGGTGAGCTTGGGACAGTGGGGTTAGGACCCTAACTCCATCAAATGTTAGCTGAATGACCTTAGGCAAATTAGACAATTATCAACAAAGCCCCATTTTTCTCATCTGTGGGGAAAAAAGGGTGGGGGGAGATTTGCAGGACTGGAAAAAACTATCCACTTCATGAGAATGTGTGAATATTAAATGAGATAAGCCATGTGAAGGGGCAATCACAGAGAATAACATAATAATCGGTCTATATACATTAGCTATTATCTCCCACCTCACAGGTTGTTGCTAGAATCAAATGAGATGTAAGAAAAGCATCATACAAATTTTAAAAGCAGGACCAACCGTGCCAGAAATAAGTTGCCCCCTCCTCCAAAAAAGTTGAATGATCTCAGCCATGTGGAGAAACCTCCATTTAGTAACATTTACACTATAAGCTCCAGGTCTAGTTTGGCAAAAACCACTGACCTTGAAGACTTCCTCACTGTTCACTAAGACAAACCAATTATCTATGAGGAGAGAGAGGAACTGCAAAAAGGACCACTGCCCAATTACCGAACATCCTGGTTACTGAGAAGGTGTTTCTCCCTGACTCAAATCTGTTGATTTTTCACAGCCGGGTAAGCAGGATGACATCAAGGTCTGAACGCCTGAGAGTTGAGGTAAGCGTTAAGGAGGGGGATCCACTTAGCACAAGGGAAGCTGCAGAGAGGAAAAGCCCTGCAGCAGCCCTGCATGCCCCTCTGACAAGAGCTAACACTGTCTCTTCACCGCTATTTTGGGCCCACGACCCCCCCACACACACCCCGCCTCCCACGTGCGCCCAGAGCAGCTGTTTCTCCACCAAAGAGCTCTGGATTGGGAGCCTCGAATAGGGCCTGCTCCTGACTCGATCTGGGTGACCTTGCATAAGCCCCTTCCCCTCTTTGGACCTGTTTCTCCATGTGCACCGAGCACAACTAGTCAGACGACCCCCGAGGCCCGGTTCTCCTAAGTAAAAAGTCTTTAGTGAGGAATTTTCCCTCAAGCACAGTGTCGCACCCTCATGCCGGAGCCAGCTTTCACCTGGCTTGGGATCCACCTGAGATCCTGGGTCTTCCTTGGTGCGGCATTAACAACGCAGCCTGCGGGCAGCGCACGTCTCAGCGAGAGTGTGTCTCGCACGTCGGGCCAGCTCTGCTGACCAGACGCTGCCTGGACCGCGCCGCTGCCACCGCTGGGCTCAAGAAGGCCCGGCCAGCGCCTACGCGAGGCCCGGGGCTGCGGCCTAGAGGCCCGCGCGGTCCGCCCCCCGCGCCCGCCAGCTCCGCGCCCGCCCCCTCAGCGCCCCTCCTGGACCTTCGCCCCGGCCTCAGCAGCTCTCGACGCGTCCAGCCGACAAGAGGCTGGCCCCAGGCACTCACCGTAAATGGGCCGGAGGCGCCTGTCGTTAGGGTCCTGCACATGGCCCCGCGTCGCCATGATGACAAGCGCAGAACCGCAGTGCGCACGCGCGGGGCAGGCCCTCGGGAAGGGGCTGTTAAAGGGCCAGCGCCGATCCAGCTCTTCTATCGCGATAGTCGCGGAGCTGCGCCTGAACGCTCCTGTGCGGAAAGGGAAGCTCTCCAGCCCTCTGACCCCTACCCGTACCGCAGTGGCTTCTTCAATAGGACACTTTCCTCCTTTGGCCCGATGGAATCAACCTGGGTGGAAGAGACGGCTGTTCGTATTGAAATCCCTTCCGAGTCACGTACTGGGTAGTGAAGAAAGGAGGGGAGAAACTCTTGGTCAAAGTTGGGGCTCAGCTGCTCCTGCTTATCGTATTTATCCTGTGTCCGAGGGAGGACCAGTTAGACTTGTCTGTGACCAATTGTTGAGGAACCAGGAACTCCTCTGGGAGACTGACCCAAGGGACAGTGGGGAAAAGGGGTCTGTCCGATCTGGGGTGCCTGACTGGCTCAATGGGTAGAGCATGAGAGTCTTGATCTTGGGGTTGATGAGTTCAAGCCCCACCTAGGGCACAGATCTTACTTAAAAAGGGGGGCGAGGGGGGGGAAGGACGCTGATCAACAGTAAAAATAAGCCTGAAAAGTTCAAGATCCCTTCACCCTTCGCCTGGGGCTCAACCAGCTAAGAAGCATCCTAGATTAATAGTAATGCAGTCAGGGGCGCCTGGGTGGCTCAGTAGTTAAGCGTCTGCCTTCGGTTCAGGTCGTGATCCCCTGGGATCGAACCCCTCATCGGGCTCCCTCCTTGCCGGGAAGCCTGCCTCTCCCTTTCCCACTCCCCCTGCTTGTGTTCCCTCTCTCGCTGTCTCTCTCTCTGTCTAATAAATAAAATCTTAAAAAAAAAGGTTAAAAAATAGTAATGCAGTTAGTTTGTCCGTTATACCTCAGTAAAACTGGAGGGAAAAAGTAAATCAGTTCATACAGCTCGTAGTTATTGAATGCCTATTATGTGCCATGCTTTGTTTTAGGCACGGAGGCTACATCAATAAATAGACAAAGTTTTCATGGAGCTTTACTTGTAGTGGGAGAGACAAGAAAATAGCATATTAGGTGGTGATAAATGATTCTGAGAAAAGTAAAACAGGGACTGGAGAGTGCCGGAGGGAGACAATTTTATATGTATAATGTGGTCAGGGAAAGCCTAGCTGAAAAAGTGATAATTGTCAAAGACTTGGAGAGGGAGGGAGCCACTTATGTGTGCCAGGCTCAGTAGAGTCATAACCTAAGGTAAGGCCACACTAGTCACTATGATTCAAACTCAGGTCTTTCTGAGTAGAGAACCAGAGTCATCCCCTGCACTACAGCGTCCCCAGTGTCATCCTTGACCAGCTGGGGTTGACCCATTCTACTGATGTTCCTTCCCTCTCCCTTTCTGGGCTTTTTAGTGTCGAAGGAAAGGATTCTCCAACTTTAGTGCACATCAGAATCCCTTGGGAAACTTGATAAACATGAGTTTCCTGGATCCTACTCCCAGACATGCTAATTCAATCTGAGGACCACTCTGAAAAATACTAATTTGTCCCACATCGGGCTCCTTGCTCAGCAGGGAGCCTGCTTCTCCCACTGGCTGCCACTCTCCCTGCTTGTGCGCTCTTTCTCTCTGACAAATAAATAAAATCTTAAAAAAAATAAAAATAAAAAATAAAATTTTAAAAAGGAAAGAAAAAATACTAATTAAAGCATCTAGATCAAAAGTTTTTATTTACTTTTGTTTTTAAAGATTTTATTTATTTATTTGTCAGAGAGAGAGAGAGAGCATGGCAGGCAGACGGAGAAGCAGGTTTCCCGCTGAGCAGGGAGCCCGATGCGGGACTCGATCCCAGGATCCTGGGATCGTGACCTGAGCTGAAGGTAGACGCTTAACCGACTGAGCCAGCCAGGCACCCCTATTTACTTTTTTATTAAGATTTTATTTTTAAGTAATCTCTGTACCCAATATGGGGCTTGAACTTAATAACTCTGAGATCAAGAGTCACACGCTCAAAAAAAAAAAAAAGAAAAGAAAAAATGGGGCACATGGGTGGCTCAGTTGGTTAAGCGGATTCCTTCACCTCAGGTCATGATCCCAAGGTCCTGGGATCAAGCCCCGCATCGGGCCCTCTGCTCCGTGGGGAGTCTGCTTCTCCCTCTCCCTCTGCCGTTCCCCCTGCTTATGCTCCCGCATGCTCTCTCTCTCTGTCTCTCTGTCTCTCTCTGTGTCAAATGGATGAGTAAAATCTTTAAAAAAAAAAAAAGACCCCTGAAACAAATAATACATTATATGTTAATTTTTTTAAAAAGTCACATGCTCTACTGACTGAGCCAGCCAGGCACCCATCAAAAGTCTTTAGAATCTACCATAACAGCAAGTTAACAATTGCTATTAAAATTTAAATATACATGCCTAGAAAAAAACTAGTGATGATAGTAACAATAATCATAGTGTGCATCAATGAGCACTTACGTGCCAGAGACTGTGCTAAGCTATTTTACATACATCTTCTCATTTCACTTTTAACAAACTGGTGGAATGGGCACCATTTCGATCTTCATCTTAAAATGAAAATTTTGAAACATAGAGATATCAGGTAATTTGCCCAAGATCACACAATAAGTCTCTGGAGAAATTTGTGGTGGTCTCACTCCCAAATCCACACCCTGGAATTATTGACCAGTTTCCAAAGAGTTAAGTATAGAAAAGAAAAACTAGTAACTTCGCAGTTGAGAAACCTCGTAAGAACCACCCTAACTAAGTGATCAAAGTTAACGTTACCAGTAATGACTCATGTTCATAACATGTACCCCAACATGAGATGATGAGAAAGGAAATTTGCTTCTGTAGTATTTTTCCAGAAAACCCATAATCCCAGAGTAATCAGGAGGAAAACGTTAAACAAATCCAATTTGAGTGACATTCTACATAATGTCTGACCAATACTCTTCAAAACTGTCAAGGTCATGAAAAATAAGGAAACAGAGAAACCGTCATAGACCAGAGGAGCCTAAGGAGACATGCCAACTAAAGTAATGTGGTATCTTGGTTGGGATCCTGGGACAGAAAAAGGGCATTGTGGAAAAACAGTTGAAATTCAAATAAGGTCTAGAGTTTAGTTAATAGTGTTGTACTAATGTTGGCCTCTTGGTTTTGATAAATGTACACGTAAGATGTTAACATTGAAGAAAACTGGGTGATGGGCAGCTGGGTGGCTCAGTCCATTAAACATCCCACTCTTAGTTCAGGCTCAGGTCATGATCTCAGGGTCGTGAGATCGAGCCCCAAGTCAGGCTCTGCCCTCAGCACAAGTCAGCTTGAGATTCTTTCCCTCTCCCTCCCCCTCTGCTCCCCCTACACCCCCGCGCGTGAACGGTGCATGCTGTCTCTCTCTAAAATAAGTAAATAAAATCTTAAAAAAAAAAAAAACTGGGTGAGGAGTATATGTAAACTTTACCCTCTTTTCAACTTTTCTGTAAATCTAAAATTACAAAAAAAAAAAAAATTTTGTTCTTCTTTTAAGTAATCTCTTTTTTTAAGTTCCCCCAAGGTGGGGCTCGAACTCATGACCCTGAGATCTAGTGTCGCATGCTCTACTGACTGAGCCAGCCAGGTGCCCCACAAAATAAAATAAAAGCTTTTTAAATGCATCATTTTTAATACTTGGGGAGAGCTATTTTTTTTTTAAACCAAATGTATTAGAAACTCTCAGCCCAACTCCATCCCAAGGCTAGCTAAAGGAGAAAATTCCAGCAGCAAGTGCAAGGAGAAATTCTTACAGAGAATGGGAGGGTCTCCAACAAAGATATAATCTGTGATCCTCATGGGAAATCATTCCTAAGACTGAGGAGGCTTTAAAATATCCCAGATAGCAGTGCCTGGCACTTTCAATCAGTGCAGTGTGCAACTCCTGATCTCCCGGTTATAAATTCAAGCCCCATGTTGGGTGTAGAGATTACTTAAAAATAAGTCTTTGGGGCAGGGCGCCTGGGTGGCTCAGTTGGTTAAGCATCTGCCTTCAGCTCAGGTCATGATCCCAGGGTCCTGGGATCAAGTCCCGCTTCAGGCTCCTTGCTCAGCAGGGAGCCTGCATCTCCCTCTGCCTGCCTCTCTCTCTCTGACAAATAAATAAATAAAATGTTTTAAAAAAAAAGAGTTAGATGCTTAACCGACTGAGCCACTCAGGTGTACCTGGATTCTTTGACTTTAGATCAGAGGTAGGCAAACTATGACCTGTCGGTCAAATCTAGCTTTCTACCAGTTTTTTTAAAACCTGTAAGCTAAGAATGGTTTTTATACTTTTTAATGACTAGGGAAAAAATCAAAAGAAGAATTTTTCATGACATGTGAAAATTACATAAATTCAAAGGTCAATGTCCATAAATAACATTTTATATAACACAGCTACACCTATTTATTTATTCATTGTCTATAGCTGCTTTGGTGCTACAAAGGCAGAGTTGAGTAGTTGCAACAGAGACCCAGCAGTGTGGCCCACGAGGCTAAAACCCTTACTGTCTGGTCCTTTACAGAAAAAGTTTGTCAACCCTGATCTGGGATAATGAGAGAAATTTAAATACTCCCAGGATACAATGTCAGATAAAATACAGTGCAGTATTTGAGAGTACTTATAGCAAATGATATTCACTATTTGTCTGAAATTCACATTTAACCAGATGTCTTGTATTTTTATTTGCTAAATCTGGCAGCCCTATCCCAAGGAGAACTCCGTGCTCCCCAAATCATGCTAACCAACAAGAATGAAGGGCAAGAGACTAGGTAAACTACCCCAGGATTACTCTGAGACGATGCGGCCAGGTATGACCAAGCCAAGGTTGGACTTGGAAAGGAGAGAGGAGGGAGGAGGGCTGGGGCTCATCTTTGGCGCAAATGAAATAGCTGGTGAGTCACCTGCGTTTTAAGAATTTCCCCGAATGGAGGGGCGCCTGGGTGGCTCAGATGGTTAAGCGTCTGCCTTCGGCTCGGGTCATGATCCCAGGTCCTGGGATCGAGTCCCACATCGGGCTCCCTGCTGTGTGGGAAGCCTGCTTCTC